TGTAAAAACTTCATAATTTTAAATATTTCAACTTCAAATTTTAAATTATTTAAATATATTTCAACAAGTTTTCAAACTTCAAATAAACTTCAGATAGTTTCATAAAAACTTTATTAATAAACTTTAACAATCCTCAAACAAATTTTGACAATCTTGAAACAACTTGTACACTAACAAACCTTATTCAAAATAAACTATATTTAACTCAAATTAATTAACTCAAAAGAAAATTAACCACCTTAAATTTTCAACTAAAGTAAATCAATCCAAATCAAACCCGATTTAAACAAAATCTATTCTAGGTCAAACCTTATTCAAATAATAAAACCTAATGAAACTCATTGAAATCAAATCGGATCTCACAAATAAAAAATCAACCCTCTTTTAACAAATTCAAAATTTCAATTCTCAGTTATTTGGTTAACCCTTTTACTATGCCCTTCCACGACACACCAATGTCGAAATGTAAGTCTCAACAATTTAATTTTAATCAATTTTTTTCAAACCCTCAGTCTATCGATCTGAGGTCTTGAAACATCAAACTTCATGATATTTACCTTATAATCATGCAGGATATAAACCGTTACGTTAATTGAGAGTATTCTTAAGAGTCAGAACTTACCAATATAATTAACTAGAAGGGCAAACCATTGTAAGGATATTTGCTGAGCTAAGAATGAAATAAACCATATTTTAATCTAGTAAGATAGGCAAAAAACTTTTGGTTAGCAGGTCCATAAATCTCAACAATTTTTCTCATCTTAAGGGTTAGATCATTTTTAGGTAATATTTATATCTTTTGGTGCAGTATATTATTTTCAAAGGATACATCTAATCAATTAGCTAAATATGATTTAATATTTGTGGTGGACATAAGAAATGAAACACAAGCATATTTTTCACCATCCTGAGGTACGTCTAACTCTACTTGCAACTGATTTTGCGCTTTGCCTCCATGATCTCAATGCATTATTTTAATTGAGAAGGAATTTAATTGTTGCTTGGTTCAAATTTTGCTGATGTGACTTAAGAGTGAACAGTCATCAAATAAATACACCATAGGAATAGTGTTTGTGAGCATGTCAGGTCTTTAAATCATTCTAGGAATTTGAATGCTCTATAAAAGGATATACAATGTGCCATTTTCATGAAAAATTTAAAAATGATACTAAATGGTTTGTTGTGATAAAGTGAAAGATGATTATGACTATAGAAATAAGACTGATATTCAGCTGGATAGTCAAGAGGAAGCCATTGGTTTCTCATGGTTAAATCTCCAAGTAGTTCTTTCGCTTATGCAAGTTTGCCAAATCTTGATTGGTCTAGTATGGTTTCTATGAGTGGCACGTTCCTCGATCTAAGTGATTATGTTGTCCTAAAATCTAGTAGTAGATTTGTCTCAATTCTAACAGATAGGCTTGGTTTGAACTCGGTTTGCGAACTCTCCTTGACCTCAATTCGCGAGCTCATCTTCAGTGCAACTGGTAAGTTTGCCTTCATTGTTTTTTGATAGTGCACATAAGTATTAAGAAACACGAGCATCCAAACTATTGACCCAATCATCTGAATGCAGGAAATTTATGAAAAATTCTCTATTATTTTAATAGTATTGTGTTGTGAGATATTTACTTCCTAGCATAGAAATGAGACGAAAAAGAACACAAGCAAACACAGATCGTTTACGTGGTTCGATCCAACTGGATCTATGTCCACGGGAGGGAATCAATCAAATATTTCACTAAGGCAAAAGAAATGGAGAATACATAGCTTATACATAGAGATGAGCCCTCATCTTCCTTCTATGGCCTCCCTCTCAAGCGACACCTTGATACAAGGCCTCAAGATGCTCTCCTCCTCTAACTCTATAGCTATTCTCTCCTCCTTTGTGGTAGCTTAAGATCTCTTCTTCCTTTCCTCTCCTAAGCCTCACACCCTTAAGATTTCTTCCCTTGCTCTCCTAAGCCTCACACCCTCTCTATTTATAGAAGCAAGAGAGTGGTAGGTGGGAGGTAGGTGAGCGGTAGGTGAGTGGTAGGTGAGATGTGGTAGGTGAGCGGGACCACATTACAAAAGTGCCCTTTTACCTTAGTT